GGGCCAGCACAGCCAGGCAATGATATGATAACATTGCCACAGTGATAGGGACAATAAATGCCTATATGTTTTACAGACATGCTTTTTATCTTAAATCTTCACCAGTTTCTTCATCCTCAAAGCCTTGTGCCAAATTAATGCTTCATCAATATACATGGCACTTCAACATGAGTAAAACAAGCAATAAATTGGTCAAATATATTTAGATTCTGCAGAATCTTTGGTATTTTAAAGCATTTTTGGATAATCTATTTAAAAAGTATTAATCAGGAAGTTAATGATGAAAGAATTTGACAAACAATGGATGAGAAAGGAAGTATATATATATATATATATATATATATATATACACACACACACACATGAATGTAACAAGGGTAAATTTTAAATTATGCCAATATATCAAACAGACGATTACTCTTACCTACAACTACAAAAAAAATAACTTCACAGACAAATTTAAACCAGCACAAAGTAAATCATAATCCCATACACATAAGCACACAGTGGTAAAACACACTAGTTGCACCACACACAAAAATAGCATACAAAATACATGTAGTTACTGTATAGAATTCTTTATAATAATATAGTATATATGTATGGAAAACAAATATATAAACACATACATGCAAAAATAAACGCACACACATGGACCTTACACACCATACAAAGTGTGTGTATGTATATATATATATATACACACACTCACTATTTCCTTGTAATAAAACAATATATCTGTATGGAGAAGGAATACATATACTAGCAAAAATACACACACAAACAATACATGAAAATGGAGAAAGGTTTAAAAAGATGCAGGGGACATAAAAAGATAAGGACAAATACTTCATTCCTTCCCTTTTCTCTGACCAATCCTAATTGTTTTATTACACCTTAAGCAAAGGAAGATTTTTCCACCAGTCCAAGGGGCACAGATGAAAGACAATGGTTAAACATAAGAAAAATTAGTCCCATTAAATATGTGGAAATAACCATTCTTTGCCTGATGAAGGTCACAGGACCCAAAACCCATGTAGCAACAACTATGGAAAATAAAGTATATATATATATATATATATATATATATATATATATATATATATATATATATATATATATATGAATGAGAGAGTATATGATGATAGTTTGAAAGATGAATTAAAAAGAGAAGAAAGGTGAGAAAGCATATGACTGAAGAGTTTAAAAAAGGATAAATTAAAAAAGATGAGAAAGCATGACTGGAAATCTTGAACAACAAAAAAGGAAGTAGGAAAGGAAGGCTCTCCATAATGAAAGTTTGATAGAGAATGAAGGAGGAAGAGAAGAAAGATGAAATGGCTGAAGAGTTTGAAAATGAATGAAAGATGATAACTGGGTGACTTGAAAGGCAGTGAATTATTAAGTCATGATTCCTTGTGCTATGACAAATAAAACGCTACCGTATCGGTAAATAAATATAAAGTCTCAAGGTCAATTTCTATGATACAGAAGATTGAGGACAAAGATAAGAAGAATAGGCTTGACAAAGATGATTTCAAAGATGGTAGTGCTATGTTTCTTGAAGTTATTAAGTGCTTTCCTTTTCATGTTTGTTTTTTTACCTTACCTTAGCTTGGAATACAAGCATAAAACACACACACTCCCACACACACATACACTTGTGCCACCACCACCACCACCTTGGTATGAAATTAAATTTGTTTCAACTTTTGTGAAATCAGCCAAGGCAATTTACTGAGTTGAACTCTGGGTTCTCTCAGGGGGAAAAATTTTTTGAATGATATTTGTTGATCCAATCACTGATTCAATTACCACTGTACCAAAGAATATTTTTGAAATTGCCTCTGGGACCATTATCCTTTTGACTGCGAGTTGTCTCAGATATCATGGATAAAAAAATCAGTCATTCCTCTTTTCAGGGATATTATAGTTTATTTACTGTTTCAAATCTTTCCATTAATAAAACCAATTTTATTCCATGTAAAAAAAAATGTGTTAATTCTGGGGGTGGCTTCAAACTTTTGAACTGTAGTGTGCATATATATATACACACACACACACACCATGATCAAATTTGTCTGGAAGGAAACTTCCTGATATTATCAGTCTGGAGAGAGGATGATCCCAGCATTCGGCACCTTTGGAAAGTGCCTGAAAATTATACCACGGGTGGACCCAGGCCTTGTGAGTGAAATTGGGTAGACAGAACACTTGGAGCCGTCAATAGCTATGCTAGCACAAAGTCAGAAACCATTGTGACTGAGGGTTTGAGTGTGCTGGTGTTGTTCAGATTGTTGATCATTCTAGATAACACCCTTTCTCCCAGAAACTGTAACTAAGGTCTTCTCACCATAGTTGCAGTATAAACCACAGGTTGGCTCTGTGGGTGTTGAACAAACACAAGTGTGCCTGAGCGGGAGTCTGCAATAGGGATTGGCTAGCCACACTAGTAGATGGGTATTCTTGAATACAAGTGGCCCTATTATATATATATATTATATATATATATATATATATATATATATATATATATAATATTAAACAGATAAGAGAAGATTGCATTGCATGAAACAAACTGTGCTTGATGTTGACCTCAGTGTCCCTATTTTTATATTTATATACACTCTATCTCTGATATTGAGTACTTTTACTCATAAATATAGCATAACTTCAAACTATATTTTTATCACACACACACACACACATATATATATATATATATAATGATAATCAGTTACTTGTTTCCATATAAATCTGTTTGCAAGACTGACAGAGCCCACCTGTGGTTTATAACCTGCAACTATGATGATCAGACCTTAGTTACAGTTTAGGAGAGACTGTATGATCTGGCATGATCAACAGTTTAAACTAGATTTGCATGCTCAAACCATCAGTCACAATGGCTTGTGACTCTCATGATAACACAGCCATTGGCAGCTGTGCAGGTGTCTAGATCAGGCATTGGCTAGTCAGCCTAGCAGGTAGGTATGCTCAGAAAAGAGTAGCAAACTGTTGCACACACACACACACACACACACACACACACACACACGTGTATGCGTATATAGGATGTCTATTTAATTGATTTTGAACATGATCACTTAAATTAACTGTTGCTTAGCTTTTTCATGAGCTCTTAAATCATTTATAAGATGTTCATTTGTTTTGACAACTAGTAGGCAAATACAACATAGAGGTTTGGTGTTATTTCTGGCTACAGTTTGCATAGAATGTTTCTGCAGTGGTAACAAGGTGACTTTTCAAACCAGCATATGATTTGACATTACATTCAAAGTAGGGTTCTGACATGATATCTCAACTTCAGTCAATTTCACACTGCTGTTGCTTCTCTCTGCTTTTTCTATAAATATTTTCACAGCAATGACCTCCTTAGTAGCTCAACTACATGAATTTAAGCGTACTACTAGGTTTCTTTTCTCGCACTTCTCACCTGTGGAACTATCTTATAGTTTATTGCTTTCCTGTCACCTATCATTAAAAAATTTAAATGCCATCTTTTGTCTTCTCGAAACCTGCTTTTTTATTGTACTTTCTCTTCTCTAATATTTTCTCATTTTCTTTCATTCCCAGTAACTCTTGTTTAGGGTGAAATGATAAAAAAAAGAAAAAGAAAAGAACGATGTGTACAGAACAATTTTGTTTCAGCTGGTAGTCAATTTCAGACATTTCACTTGTCCATTTTACCTATGGCATTTCATATAGTTAATAAAACCTGCTCTGGAGAGAAAATCTCATCTACATACTGGACAGATGTTTGGAAAATAAAAATCATTAGCATTACTATAGATAAACATATATAAAAATCTATATATTCAGTTAAAAATTTTAAAAAAATGGAGAGTTTTTACATAGTTTATCTTCAAAAAAGAAAACACTTATATGAACACAAAAAAATTGAATAAAAAGCCTAATCCCAATACCTTGTCAGTTCAGTCTTCTTAAATGAAAATTAATGTGTGTAATTTCTAAAAAATGGATTTTTACTTAGTAATAAAAAATAATGCTGAATTCTAAGTTGTGTTTTATGGTGTTTGGGTAAGCATCTCCATTTTTTAAACAGTGTAAGTGTCATCTACCAGCTTAGATTTTTAAGAGTTTTTAATAAAGAACAATAGTTCCTCCAATCAGGGGAACACAGGTTTGAACCCTGCTGAAGAACACCTTTCTTTAATTAAAGACTCTCAAAATTCTTGGCTGGTAGATGACTAATTATACTGTCTAAAACAACCCAGATGTCTACTAGATCACATGTATCCAGTAAATATAATGTTTATAATAAGAAGAATTCAATGCATTTTGAGTAAAAGCCCTGCCAGATGATCAGATGCTAGAAAATTATACAGCCTTTATTAAGGAAGATTTGTTTCATCGGGGACAGAATAATGATGATTGTATGCACTATCAACTTATTGAGAGATAAGCCTGCTGTTTGTCTGTGGTGGGTGCTCTAAGCTAATTAAAGTAATTGTAAGTGTCTGTGTAAGATGCAGCCGAAGAAGCTTGTCATCACTTTGATGGATGAGCTAGAATTATTACAGTTATACACTTACTGAACAGAAGCAAATTTTTCTGAGTTTACATGTTTGTAAATAAACTGGAAGGAAATAAAACCCTGACTAGCTTCAATATGGCTGACCTTGGTAGAGAAAAAAATAGTCTCTTTTGACAAATGACTTTTGTATAAAAATATTATGATTACTAACTAAACCGGTGGAAATTCCATGGGTGTTGACAACTGTCATCATTACACTTAAATATAGATGCAGTTACTGACAGAATGGGTTTATTATATGAATATTAAATATGAATTTAAACATGTGAAATTAATAAAGTAAATGGATAAAAATAAATGTTAGGTTAGAAAGAAAAGAAAGATCATGCAGGGGGGGGTGATATTTAAAGGAAGAGAAAGAGCAATGATGAGGGTATAAAAGAGAGGGTGGGGATATGGAGGAGAAAGTGCAGTGGGGAGGCATATGAATGAGGTAGACATTTTCTCTCTCACCTCATTTTTTTCTTCCCCTCTCTCTCTCTCACACTCATATTTCTCCCCATCATTGGCAGCTAGTTTTTTCTCCCCCTCTCACTGGCAGCTAGTTTTTTCTCCTCCTATCACTGGCAGCTAGTTTTTTCTCCTCCTATCACTGGCAGCTAGTTTTTTTTCTCCCCCATCTCACTGGCAGCTAGTTTTTTTTCTCCCCGTCTCACTGGCAGCTAGTTTTTTTTCTCCCCGTCTCACTGGCAGCTAGTTTTTTTTTTTTTTCTCCCCGTCTCACTGGCAGCTAGTTTTTTTTTCTCCCCCATCTCACTGGCAGCTAGTTTTTTTTTCTCCCCCGTCTCACTGGCAGCTAGTTTTTTTTTCTCCCCCGTCTCACTGGCAGCTAGTTTTTTTTTCTCCCCCGTCTCACTGGCAGCTAGTTTTTTTTTCCACTTCTCACTCAGTTTTTCTCTCTCCTTCATTTTTTCTCTCCCTCTTTCTCACAACACATTTTTATCTCCTACTCTTACCTCATTTTTTCTACTCCTTCCTTTCTCCTCACTTCTAACACTGCAGTTTTTCCCCTTCTTTCTCACTGCTTATTTTCTTCCCCTCACATCTTATTTTCAATCCCCTCTCACCTCATTTTCATTTCATTTTTTTCTATTGCTTCCCATTTCTTTATCATTTTTATCCACTCTCTCTCTCACTCTCATTCTATTCTCACCTTCATTTTTTTTCTTTGTTGCTCTTATTAATTCCTTTTCCTTCATTCTTCATTATTCATTCCTTATTAATTAATTACCTTTACGATCACCCCTTGCCCAATTTCTTACCATCTTCTACTTTCCTGGTGAATAATTTTGTTCTTAACAGTATTCTTGCAAAACCTGTTGCTTCAGCATTCCTCCGATTCCCAGACCGAACAGATGCTGACTCACCTGACCTCAGATCCTAACTGCTTGATTTGCAACACCCCTCACCCACAACTGCCCTCATGTGAGTTGCCATGAAATCTAATTCTTTGTTTTTCCTGTGGCAATTTTTTCCCGCCCATTTATGGGAGTTGGTCATCCAGTCTGGGGGCTATTTTGATATTGACTCATTTTTCATCAAATTATCGCTCACATTACAAGCATTTCACTGAAGGGATTTTTTTGATAATCAAAACTTATAGGATGCTGGTAAAATATCTGGGCCTTAATTTGTCAAATAAGATGTACATCACCAATTTTCCAGGGCTCTTGCTTCCAGAATCATGTTGGGTGATTGCTTTTGTCAAACCAACAGTGACTCTTTAATAATATTTTCCCAGAACGTCTGATTCACTACCATTTCATAAAATTGTATGCTTCTGACAACTGTCGAATGACAGTTGGAGAAAAAGCAACTGAAATTAAGATGTAGCCAATGTTAGTAAAACTACTTGTTTTAATAATACTTGATCTCTTGGTATTTCTCTTTGGAACAATCTCAATAAATATTAAAATCTAAACATATTTGACTCAGTTTCTTCTGAAGAACTGCTGCTTTGTGAAAAAAACTCTCAGCAAGATGTTTTGGAGGTTTTCCCAATCACTATAATCTTGACCTCTTCAAGCTGTTATCTTTCCTACATAGCTCCATGAACTACACTTTTTGCCTTCTCCTGTGCTCAATCTATTGGTGAGATGTAAACAATGTAAGTAACAATAATTCCTAATCCCAGAAATTCTGACAGAAATTATTCACTTCAGTTTCAAAATGGATTTCAAATTAGAGCATTTTAACATTATTGCAGTAAAAGAAAACAACGAAAAAGAAATCCTGTGTTGTTTTCACTGTGTTATGTCAACAAGCAAACACTCACAATCAGAAATCAAATCATTATAATATAGATTACGGTCATTGTTTTTGTTAGTTTTGTTGATGATGAAAGAATAGTGAGAAGTTTTCCTATCATTTGATGGTCAGTGATAGTTTTTGAAATACTCTGCTGATATAAAAATTCATATAATGATAACAGACTTTCAGCAGAGTGTTTTCCCAATCATGACAATTTTGACTTCTTGAAGTCTATGGTTAACTGTTAATTTTACTGCATAACATAATGAACTGCACCTTTTCATTTCTTACACTTATACAACACCGCACAATAATCCTCTACCTTGTGTGGCTCTTGGGCCTTGTATTAGGTGAACATTAGTATAAAAAATTCTGATGTTTAAGATATTCTAAATGGTGCTATTTTAAACTAAGTCAATGGTTTTAGTGTTTAAAAATGTGAGGTGTGTTTTTTTTTTTTTTTTTTTTTAGACTAAAACTCTAGATTTAGTATGAAATTAAATGGGTTAAATAGCCGGGTTGTCTGAACTCTTTCGGAAAGGAAAACTCTGAATTCTAATTTGTAGAGAAGTCAGCATGAAACCACTATCTTTCCCAAGAAATCATGGCACGTCACACATAATAAAGAAAAATCTGTGGTGATTCATCATTGCTTTCATCCTGAAGGGACATGGTGCAAAAAAAAAAAAAATGTAGGCTTTATGAAAAGTAAGGGTTACTTAGCCTTTTTACAAGAGTCAACTGGAAAGTTTGTAAGATGATCAAGATATAAATGTCAGTAGACACATCAGTTGGTAGACTAAAGGATATGCAAATGTACCAGAATACAACACTAATAATCTACTTATAGTTCTACCTTGGTCAGCCTATGAAATTTCCAGCCAACCCTCACATATATATATATATATGTAGGTGTATGGGTAATTAAAAGAAGGCAAATGAATAGGAATAGAGTATAAGGAGATAAGAAAATTAAGAAAAGGAGAAATAAGCCTGATATTCTACAGATGTACACACACACACACACACACACACGCACACACACACACACACACAGAAGAATAAAAGTGCATAAATTATTTTTTAACTAAATCTTACTTATTATAAAAGGCAGATTGTGTGTGTGTCTGTATGTTTATATATTGGATCGGATTTCCTACATTTTTCAACTGATTTCAACAAAACTTCACAGGACTACATAAAATTACCTTGCTGTGGTTCTGACAGCACCAAAAATTGGAAAAACAAATTGTTTTTATACAAAATCAATTTGAAAACACAATAAAACACGATTCTGTCACCAGAATGAAAGGGGGACAACTCATATCGAGTTATAATTATAAAACCCAGGTTGTTTTTGTGTGTGTGTTTGTTTATATATGGGATCGGATTTCCTACATTTTTCAACCGATTTCAACAAAACTTCACTTTTTTTTTTGGCAGGTAGTGTTTCTTATTGTCTTGCATACTTTTTTCTTTATTTTTACATATTTTAAAAATTCCATTTACAAGACAATTGTTTATAATAAAACTCTATTCAATCAATAGACTCATAACGATTGAAAACAATGTTTTTGTTTGAGTTTGACCAATTATAAGCAAAAAAAAAAAAAAAAAAAAACTAATTAAGATATGCGTGTCCGTCAACCTTAAACAATAATCTTTGTCAATTTTATTTTTCAGTCTTCATGATGGTCAATACTTGATCTCTCTCTTACTGTTACATCCCTGGGCAACGCCGGGCTCTACTGCTAGTATAGAATAAAAAAAAAAAAATTAGAAAATCAGTAGTGTACTGACGATTACAAAAAAATATTAATCTATGAAACTCAGGAGTTGGGGTATTGAATATAACATCAATCAGCTCAGTGCCAAATTTTATATTTGTATTACTCATATAGTTTGGTTTGTTTTACAGCATATCAACCTCAGTGGGTTACTAAATGCTGACAAGATTTTTATTCCTGGTAATATTTTTTTCAAAAATGTATTGTTGGTAATAATTTTATCCAAGAATGTATTGCTTGTAATAATTTTTTTAATGAAAAGTATTGCTGGTATTAAAACCTATTTTTACACCTTCATAGTGTTTTGACTTGGACTCTTAACAGATGCTACCACCCCAGGTCAGGGTGGACCTGGGAACACCAGCAATTAAGAGGTTTGTTCCACACTCCTCAAAACCTCCTGATCAGAGGCCTTGCTGTTGGATGTAGAGAAAGGTATTTGAGTGGAACTTTCTTACATTTGGAATACAGAGGAAATAATGGTGAGTTGACTCCCTGGAAATAGCAGGGCAAGTTCCAGCTGTGAAGATCCAAACTAAAGAATTGGGCTCATCTGGACATTTGCTATGGAAACAGTGATAATAGCAGCATTGCATCTGTGGGAATCTAGTTGTTGAATGGAAATATCCCCACCACCACCACCAAAGATCCTGTAACAGATTTTGAACTCTGTCAAGACTGGAATGTGAGGATTAAACAGTTCCAACCCAGATATGGTAGCAATTTTCCATCTTTGGCCTAATCTAATTCTTGTAAAGATAAAGCATAGCAGAAGGAGTCAGGTATTTCTTGGAGTGATAGAATGAGTCAAATATTTTTTCAGCTTCTTTTAGCACTGGATTGTATATACAAGTTCCACTTGTGGTTGACGTAACTGCAGTAGAATCTGTACATCTACTGTTTTTAGATGCAGACAAAATAGCCTGAAATTTTCATCTGTGTAATTAGTTATTCATTGTGAAAGTTATTTTTAAAAAAATGCATCTAGTAATGTTTATATGTTTACATAACATGTTAAAAAATTAACATTCTTTTTAAATATATAAAATGTTAGGTAAACAAAAACTCTAGAAAGCAAGATAAATTGTGAAATAGTCATACATAAATAAACAAATACAAATATTGAAATGTTTGTTAATTTTATACAAAGATAGCAGAAAGAAAAAATGAAAATATAAATCGAGAGTTAAGCTTAAAATGCTAAAATAACATTATGAAGTCATTATTTATAACATAGAATTTATACTATCTTTTTGACAGTACTACCATCTAAGTTATTAACTGATAAAAAATGAACAAAAGTAGAAAATGCAAAATTGATAAGTATAACTTTAGGTAAGCAAAAACAGAAAGTAAATATAAAACAAACGATCTTCAGGTTAGTTGTACAAAAATAAATACTAATATAGAAAATCATGGTAGAACACATAATGTATATAATATTTATATACATATATATGTTCTGAAGGTTGACATAGCTAGGGTGATAGTGAAATGAGGACAGGCTCCCACTGTCTATAAAATGCTTTCTTGACATGAATCTCAAGTAGCCTCTGATGACTAAGTCCAGCTCCAAGCTGGAAAATAGGTGAAGTCAAACAACTGGAACCTTTGGGCTGATGGAGTGTGACAGCCCGGGAAGACCATCTAGGGGAAGGAAAACCCTGATTTTAAACCTCTCCTTCTTTGTGGCCATATCCAAACATGGAAAAGGCTGTGAAAGTAAATCCAAACAGAAAACCTGGAGTTGAGCCCTGAAGGTGGTTGGCTGTCAACACTGACAACTTTCTTGCAACTCTTGTAGCCAAGCCGGCCCAAAATATAATACCCTGTATTCATTTAGATTTTGCCAGTACAGCCAAAAGTGGCACCGTGTGTTCTGAAGTTTAGCTGCATTGATAAGCAACTGATGAAGGCCAGAGTGTATAACAGCCAAAACGTGATAACAACAAAGATGTAAATAATGATAACTCCTGATCCCATTAATTTAGACAGAAATCATTAGAACTCTTTAGAGATATATTTACATTCATCATAATGAACACAAAAAAATATCTATTGAAATTTTTGGGATAAGGAATTATTATTTTCATTACTTACATTCAGATTATTGTTATCCCAATGTTTCGACTGTTGTGCCTTCTAGCCTTTTTCAGGTGTGTGTTGATCTTTCAGAGAATTTTGATCTTT